TTGTCTCTTTCCTACTTTTTGTCTGATACACTCATTTTTTCATGTATTTAGGGAGAGCTTGTTGTGGTTAAACACACGAAAAAGAAAGATCTGAGAATTTCCCGCAAAATCCTGATTGAAGTTAAACAGGTAAGGATGCCAGCTTAATCACGTGTACATAATCAGAGAGCCTCGATTTTGTGTACTAGACTCAGTCTTCCTGGCTCACATCAAACACATAGCTACCCCATCGAACTTTGACCATTTTGTTACAATGTGACGCAGTCTACTCCCTCAGTGACTTGCCTGTACTGTTATTTTAGGCGCGAGAACTACGCCATGAGAACATTAATCCCTTTATCGGAATCTGCATCGACTCGCCTCAGGTCATGATTCTCTCCAAGTACTTGAAACGAGGCAGTCTTCAGGTATGTAAAGATTTAGTCTCGTTACCATGCTGTGCTTGTCAATGAGCCTGCAATGATTGCTTAGTAACAGATTGCGGTTTATCAGTTGTATTTGTTTTTAATTTTTTATTGAAATCGTACTTTTAAACCTTTTGCGTAGGATCTTTTGGAAAATGAAGATTTCAAGCTGGAAGAAATTTTTATCCTTTCTTTGGTTCGCGATGTCGCGACGGTAATGTGTTGTTACCTATTAGATAGTACGGAAAGTTTATTGTCGATAAGAAAAGATTATGACCGAGTTGTAAAAGTAAGGAGTTGAGAGAGGGTTGTTTATCGTTTTCGGAATCAGTACACTTTTCTGTTGAGTGTCATAAAACCAAAAACACGTGATCACAAAAAGGGACAAATCCCAAGGAGCCAATGAAAAACGAGGTATTTTGTAAATGGATGAAATTTGCGGGGAAACATGAATTGTCAGGTCGCGATGGGATTCAGATTTGCATCTGATTGGTCGAGTGATTGATGGGCTAGCCATAAGTCCCGGATGTTTTTAGACATTTCATTTGAAAAGTTTCCTTTTTAGCTGAAACAAATCCTTGATGATCATAAGTAGTTTCACTAAGCCGTTGTCGTTTAAAAAAACAATTACGATTCAAACTACTCAGAAGTGTGTATTGTTGAGTTTATGCCTTGTTTCGACGCAGGGAATGATGGTGTTGCATAATAGTCCAGTGCAAGTGCATGGTCGTCTCAAGTCCTCTAACTGCCTGATTGATTCGCGTTGGGTATGCAAGATTGGAGACTGGGGACTAAGTGAGCTTCGGTCACCATTAGACCGCTGTCAATTGCAAGAAGGGTCTGAGAAATACAATGGTATGTCACGTAATGTTTTAACCCTTCAACCCCAAGATCTCATAAGCAATTCTCCTTATTGTCTGCCATACGATTTCATTATGTTAGTTTGGAGAATTTGGTATTGAATAAACTAATAATCCCCTAATTAATATTTTTCTTTATTCTCATCACGTGTCTGCTTGATGTTGTATTGATATTGTAAGGAGAAATTCTGTCTTGGTCACTCATGGGAGTTAAAGGGTTAAATGCACTAAATGTCAAAAGCCGACTCGTACAAAAAACTTTTGGCAACCATTTCTTTATGTGGGGTAATAATACGGAAAGAAGTTGATTGGTGCCGCTGCCCATTCTCTACAAAACTATTTGTGGCTGACTAAATTTAAACCAAACGTACAGTAATGTGAGGCAACTTCGTTGTGGAAAGCATGATTTTGATCGTGTGTGGTGTGATTCTCCGGGTGAAGGTAGTCAAATTTCGGACGGTAACGTTCGATTTTATTTCATGACAAAAATCGATTTGCCTCTTCTACTGGAAACTTCTCTTCAGTAAATTGACAAGATAATTCTAAGGTTTTCTCGTAAGATTTTTGATTTGCTTGAAGACTTTTCTTTTTTTTACTTCTTTGTAGATATGTTGTGGTGTGCTCCTGAACATATCAGTGATGGCGAAATGGACCACAGGGGATCCCAGAAAGGAGACGTGTACAGCTATGGTATCATTCTACAGGAAATTGCCATCAGAAAACCACCGTACAGCATGTACACGTTTGAGCCTCAAGGTAATATAAGAAGCGTGCATTTTGATAGCCTTTCTCGCGCTCTCGGTAAATGAGGACGAAGAATACGCGGGAGAAATGAGATCTGATTGGTTAAGAGGACGACGCAGTTATTCTCCATGAATCCCAAAGCGAGGTGAAACAAAACCAGTACTTACAATGAACGGTTTCCTCGTGTTTTTCTCGCACTTTGCGTGCACTTTCTTCACTTCCCTGCTCGCAAAAACAATAACTCTCGTTACTCTATATTATTTGTTAAAGACAGACAAGATTTGTAATCTAGTAAACTGCAAAAAGTGTGGGAAAAATTGCGCACCCTCCCAATCGTCCCTTATGACCTCTGCCTTATCGGTTGGGAGTAACATGTCTTTACTATGTGACAGGTGATATGACTTGGTACGATTTTCTGAAGTAGTTTCATCCTCAGTGAAAACAGAGAGAGCCTGGAAAGAAATATTTGTTCGTTTTCGTTGTTCTCGGCAGAGATCATTGCCCGTGTCATGGCCCATGAAGATCCTCCATTTCGCCCCGTGGTCGAGGAAAACGCCTGCAAATCGGAATTGCAGTCCCTTATGACGCAGTGCTGGGATGATGATCCTGACCGAAGGCCTCATTTTAATAAGATCCTGGATAGGCTCCGTAAAGTCATGGGCAGGTAAGTTGACTTTGTCATCACACACTCATTCCCTTCTTTCTATTCCAGAAAACGGTTTTAGAACTGTTTCCCATTTTTCTTGGAACTTTTCAGCTTGAGTCTCGGCTTTTGATGGATGTCTTGCCACATGGTTAGCTAAGAAATCTAAACTTAGGCTTTCTCATGACCTCACATCTCTGACACCAATGTTACTTCAACTCTGTTTTTTTAGAGAATCATGACACCCTAGATCTCTGAAAATTGCATGGCCGGCAAGAAACGCATGTAGTAGACTTGAGGAGAGAGTTTCTTGTCAATTTTACAGGCATAGAAAAGAAAACCCGAATCTACAAATAAACGAAAGGGCTTAATTTTTCCGAATGATCAGACTTATATGATCTTTTTTTTTTTTTTTTAAGGGACGTGAACATTATGGATAACATCATGGCTCTTATTGAGAGGCATGCTGAAAATTTGGAGGCACTGGTTGAGGAAAGAACACTGTTGTTGATGGAAGAGAAGAAGAAAACAGACAAACTTCTTTATAAAATGCTACCAGTGTAAGGAACCATACTGTAGTAAAATAACTAATTTCGCTATACCTCTTTGCCATTCTAAGCCATTTTTGTTGTTTGTGACTTGGTTAACTTCTATAATACCGTCCGTCAGAATCAAATAGTCATTATTGGGTGTCCTGTGATCTAAGTATGACAGCAGTGTCTTGTGATCCACTTTCATCTCCGCTATTATTAGTCATCTTCATTTCCAAGGAAGTGCGTATCATTTGCGACTGTTTCTTCATTGTATTTAACCATTATTGTTTGGTTTTTCTCTATGTTTTGTATTTTGTATTTTTATGAGCCTCATGATACCTGGTCACGATGCATTTGTTTACTACGCAGTGCTGTTGCAGAGCAGCTGAAGCTTGGTAAGCCTGTGACTCCAGAGTACTTCGACGAGGTCACGATATATTTCAGTGAAATAATGGCGTTCATTGATCTGGCTTCAGAAAGCACACCAATGGAGGTGAGACAATATCACTGAAACTCATGTCATGAAAAGCAACTCATTTCCTTTTCTAAAGTAAGTATGAGATTGTTGGTTGCTCAGTCGCAACGCTCACAGACGGATTCTTATTTGTATGCCCGAGCTATGACGCAACATTGTCAACTTGCATCTTTCTCCTTAGCTTCACGCTCTGTTCAGTTGCAATAGCTTCTCTGGTTTCATGAGCAACAGTGTTTTGAACGCATTTCCTTCAGGAATATCTGGATGGCTTTCTGTTTTAAAATCTTACTTTGGGTTCTCACCTTCCTAGAGTTATAAAAAAAGCTTTGCAGAAGTGTATAATGAACCGTTGAAAATACAAACCACTTTTTCCGACAATCAAGACGATTAAGTTCTTTCCATTTTAGATTGTTGCATTTTTAAATGACTTGTATCTTGCTCTGGACAACATTCTTGGAAACTACGATGTTTTCAAGGTAAGTAATGCAAAAGATTGACAAATGAATGAAGGGGTAAGTTTCTAAAGAAACTGTGGTGCTTGCAGCAAGATTGACAGCCGAGGCCATTTATTCGCTGAATCTTCCCCGAAAGAGTTCAGTGGCATTCGAGTAATCTTCGAATATTTACGTTAAGGGTTTGTTTTTTTCCTTCTGAAAATAAAAGAAAATTGACGTTGCCTTGCAAGTTGTTCGTAAGTGACGTGAAAGAAGAACATTACTGAACCAATTTGGTAGAGTCGAGCACTTTTTCAGTTCTCAGAGGGGGGAAAAACTATTCTTATTTACTCTTCTTCGTAGGTAGAAACAATCGGTGATTGTTTGTTGGTGGTGTCAGGCCTGCCAGTCAGGAATGGTAACCGCCATGCAGGAGAGATTGCAGACATGGCGTTTGACATTCTGAGTCTAATGACTCACTTCAAGATTCGGCACAGGCCACGGATGAAGCTGCAGCTCAGGGTTGGACTGCACAGCGGTAATACTGTGATTCGTTCCCAGTGTCGGCTCAGTGTCATTGCCGTTCTCTGCCAGTAGTTTGTTTGACGAAACTGGTGACACATAGTCAAAATAAAGCTAGAGTCGGCAGACCTGAATCAAATGCTACGTCACATTTATGTGGTCAATAACGTGGAATCAAGAGCACGAGGTTTAAAATTCAGCAAAATTTACGGAGAAAAAAGGCCAGGGCTGACATTAGAAACCGAGGCATTTTGCTGTCGATGAAGGCATCTTCCTATTTCCACTGTTTTTAATCAAAAAATTAATTTTTGAAAATATTTAGGAGGTGTACAAAGTTTTTGGAGGTTGTGCTGTAGAAGAAGGGCAAGGGAACAACGCTTAGAGGAAACAGAATGGAAAATCAAACATGGAAACGACTCAAAATCCGTTTTCCGCGTCAAACCCTAGCGCATGCGTAGACGTTATTCAGCTCTGTCGCTAGAGTCAGGATTGATTCGTTCCTCCTTCCGTAACTAGACTGATCAGCCCTAATTTGGAATTTTTTTAGCGGCAAGACGGCGTCTGTTAAATAGAAATAGACTTCAGCATCTTTATTTATCAATCATTTCTTGTTATTACCAGGCTCCTGCGTAGCAGGTGTAGTCGGAATCCACATGCCACGGTTCTGTTTGTTTGGTGACACAGTAAACGTGGCATCAAGGGTGGAGACCACTGGCCAGGGTAAGGGGCTCAAGTTTCCAAACGCAAGTAACTCTATTATCGCCTCTGTCTTTCGTTTCTGAACAACTTAAATACAACCTTACTTTGGTAACGGATTCTGAGACTGAATTGTGATCGTTCCCAAGGAAAATACATATCGATTATAATAGTTTAGATTTATCAATAAAATTTCCTCATGATTCAGATGAACCCAAATCAAGTCTTTTATCCGGAAAATTACTGACAGGAAGCAGTGATATTAGTATAAACAAAAAAGTAATAAAACAGAAAAACTTCTAGGAGAGGTAAGTTGATGTACTCTCTTTTCTTGTTAATCTTCTATTAAAACCTACCTTCTCTCAGCTCTCAAGATCCATGTGAGTGAAGACTGTTACAGACTTTTGAAGGAAATTGGAGGATACACATTTCTGAAGCGAGGCGAGGTTTATCTCAAGGTATAGAGCTTTTAAATTAACCCCGCCATCCAGTTTGTTGGTTGCTCTAAAATGTGGAAAGATTTGTTTGTATAAAAAAGTACTCTCAACCAATCAGTTATTGCGTGCATGCAGTTTTCGTCAACCATTTGCAGACAGTCATCACAAGAATAGTCAGAGGAGTACACCGCCGGCGCGCCTTTGTATTTGAGAACCCAACTCAACTGGCTTAATGTGCGAGAAAAACGCTCTTGACCGAGTAACTTGGTCTAAGTTTCACACCTGATTGGTTGAGATCCCTGATTGGGCAAATTTTTCGAAGTGGTGACAGTGGTTACTAGATTATAACAAGTGCAGTGTAAGACTCCTATCCACATACAATCGAAATCAACTGGAGTTTTCAATAAATGACAGCTAGTTTTCCAAGACACTAATAGAGAGAACGTATCCATCTGAAGAACACCACTACTGGAGGAAAATAGAACTAGTTTGTTATTTATGAAGAGGCTTTTCTTGTTTTTTGTTTTTCAGGGACGTGGTTTTTGGAAAACGTACTGGCTGATTGGCAAAGAGGGATTCAACAAGCCACTGCCTCACGCTATGACGGCGAACTCAGAACCATCTGTTGAAACTTTGAACATTTACTACGCAAGTTAACTTAAGTCTTTTTGAGACCGTCTTCATCGCAGGGGTTTATCTATTGATATCACTTCAACCTTCCTCACATTTCACAAAAGATGGGCAAGTTTAATTTAACCAAACTGAGAAAAATGTTGATTTCGTCATCCAAATCAAAATTGCTCATGGGTGGTGGCTGATTGAGCTGTTTTCCTGTATCATTTAAAATCAGGAGTGACTGTAGAACCTTTAACACTTGATTTTCTTTTTCATCAGTATCTCTAAGCATTTTAGCTCCACAGTGCGCGGACAGTGGGGTGGTTTAAATTAATCAGTGAAGTTCAGTTGGCATAGCCTAGGTTCCAGTCCTCTCTCCTTGTGTCACCTCATTCTATTGCCCAGTTCCTCTCTGCCTTGTATATAAATATTTTTGTGCTCTCAATTACGAGCCTATCCAATGATAGTTTAGAAAGTACCAACTCATTCGTAGAACGAAACACAATAGTTGGGCAAACATAAGCAAAGTCAGCTTTAGTTTTCTGTTCCTTTTGTTTTGAGCAACTTGATGGAATTAGTGTAGATTACATTATTATAACTTCATGGAGGGATTGAAGATGGCTGCTGTTGTTTTTAATAATCAGATAAATTATAGCCATGTAAACATTTGTTTATTCCTTAATTATTTGGAGATTTCATCAACAGCTTAAATGGGGAAATGTCAGTATATGGGCAACTACCCACCCCTCCTCTAACCCAACAACAGTCAGCTGACAACAACTTAGGGTTAATGTAGGCTTAGGGGAGGGGTAGGTGTACAGTTTCTCAAATACTGACGTGGATCTGCCGTAATTATATAAAGCACAATAAATTAAACACCAAAAACAAGAGTTATCAATGTATGTAGGTTTTTCTGTGTATAGCTTTTGAAGTAAATGACATCCCCCTGGAGTAAAAATCACATTGTCAGAGAACAGAAACCGACAAGCCTTAGCATCATCTTGCAAGCCCGAGGCTCTTTCAACTCCTCTTTATCTTAAAGTTTCCTTCCCTCCAAACTCATTTCTTTCTCAGTTATCCATATTTTGTTTCATTCAGCAAATTATGATGATTCTCTATAATTCAGTCCACACATTGACCAGACCCCTGCCAGCCCTCCCCCCATTATTAAAAGTTCACTCTGTCAGGAGCTTAGTGCTGAGTTGAATCAACTTCCGGAAGGAGAAATAGCTTTTGAATTGTTGAATTAAATACCCAAAAAGTTTTGATCTAAAAAAAATCTTACATTTTCCTGTTCAGTGGACCTGCACTGTTTTTATAAACCTGTCTTGATTTACTTCGAACATTTACAATATCTGATCAATGTGGGTACCTGAGCAACTGTGCACCTACCTCTCCCCTAACTCAACAACTGTCCTTTGATGACAAGTTAGCCTTAATGTTGGGTCTGGTAGGGGCTGGTGCACAGTTGTTGCAATACTAATATTGATCCATATTTTTTTCCTAAGATGACCTTCACTGTTAAAGTTTACTGGAGAACAGGTCAATGTTCTGTGACTCCTGCTGCATCAAGAATTGCTTTATCTCTCTTGCAGTTTGCTCAGGATTATCCATATGAAAATGGTGACCACCTTCAACCTTTTTCTTCATGAGAAATTTGGCATTTTGACACAATAGAATAGGTCTTTCTCTTACTTCTATTTCTATCTTACTAGTTGTGCCCTCTAAGACCAACATGGATGATTTAATCCTATACAAAATTAACTTGATAGAGACCTCAGGAGAGATAAACGGACGAAAAAGCCCTCTGACGACTGGATCATGGGAAAATATAACACCCTCGTTGGTGACTTTGGTTCCCCTCTTGGTTATCGACAACGCGCTTTCCTTGGACAAAGGGTAATATGGATTGTTATCCTCGGTTTCTTCTCGTCTTACTGCTGCTTTTTCTACGCTTTCGTAAACGCGAGGATTAGCTGGTTTGATGCTCGCCATTTTGGTGGCGTAAGTAGCTAGCACCTCAGCGGGGCGATTTCCAAACCGAGGATGCGGTCCACCGCAATCGATCAAAATTAGGTTCTCTACCTCATCAGGAAAGCATCCAGCATACAGCATTGCCACATAGCCCCCCATACTGTGGCCTATAATCGAGAATTGTTTCCATCCTAGCTGAAAAACGACCTTCTTTACATCAGCAACATATTCAAAGTTGTTGTATCCAATCCCTAGAGGACGATGAGAAGACATACCATGGCCAGCAAAGTCCATCGCGATAAAGCGAATGTTCTTGGGAAGCAACGGAACTAGCTTGTCAAATGCGTTGGCGTTGTCTAGCCAGCCGTGAAGGCCAAGAAAAGGCTTACCGTTCTCGGGACCCCATATTTTAGCTGCAATAACACCCCAAGGAACATTAAAAGAAGTTTCTTGCCCCGCAAATTCCGCCGCCATATTGCATAATCAAAGTGCTACTAGCCCTAGTCTTTATCTCGTTTCTACGCAAACGAGGCTCATAAATCACGTGAGATAATTTGCCATCGGCCATCGCAGCCAAATTCAGAAATATCAAAAGATGGTCAGAATTTGTGGCCCTAAACTAGCAAATTGTTGCTTTTTGATAAGCATATGGGGTATTATAATGTTGGTGAGTTATTTTGGTAGCGATCTGATTAATTTCATGCGTTTGTGGAGCTACGATAGTTGACCGTGTATCTTGTATCTCTGTAATTGATGACTTCTATTTTACTCCGTTTGTTTCAGTTGTTGTTAGGAGTATTTTTCAGTACAAGAAGCGTAGCACTCATAGAGGATATTCCTGGCAAAATGAAAGAATCAGAAGGTTATAAATCATCGGCAAAGTTAGTATTAAAATTGCGTTACGAAGAGATTGAAATAGAGGTTATTAATCTTGATAAGCATCAGATTATGCATAAACAGGCTGAGAAAGTGTTTTAGTGACACGTTTACTGAGGGAGAATGTAAGACGCTTGATAAACGCGTCTTACTTGATCTCAGGGGAATCTTAGAGAGGTGAGGAGAATTCCTGTGATATAATGTATCCAGGTTAAAAAAATGCATTGAACAATGATTTGTACCATGCAAATCAGAAGCATGTGACCTAGAACGAGATTATATGCTTCTGTTTAAATATAATACCATGTAACTGTGTAAAGTGCCGTGACTGCACCTGAACACTCGTGAATTTACTTAAAGTGGTCCAACTTCACTTGTGATTTATATTAGTTTTGTTTTTGTATGCATCAAGGCACATAAATGTATCTTTGTTAAGCCCTATGGGGGAAACCCAGGGAATTTTATTGAGATTGTTTGTAGTATACACCATGTCAGGCTGTAAGAACAATATCTTTCACATTCACTTACACCTGACTCTCTTTTTGTACATTACCCCAGGGGAAAATATCTGACTTGCAGTTGGTGACAGGGAGTGGGGAACTTGACTCTGAATTTCATGGGAATTGCAAATCCCCTTGGGTGAACCATCACCCTGTTCCTGTAATTAATAATAATCACACATTATTCTACCTGAATGCTAAAGCAAATAAAATTTAAATCAATGATACCATTGAGCTGCAATGTTTGGAAGCTTTCTACCAAGTCGCACAACATATTTTTTTTTCAGACATAAATTTGTGACTTTAACATCAACCCTAAGATTTATAGCACCAGTGAAACTTTATGCTTTATTTTCTCTTAGCTGCTTAATGAAATGTCACCGGGTGTGATTAAGCTTTTCATATTAACCATAACATGATGTTGTCCAACTTTTTACCCCACAGAAATTGTTACATAGCTGCTGGAATTTATGCTGTTACAATGGTTGTAGCAGCACATCAGAAATGGGTGAATAGTCGGACAGGAGACACACAAAAGTTGTAAGTGCATATCTCTTGTACATCCTAAAAAATGTATTATTCTTTACACCCTCTATGATAAGAATATATCAATATTACTAGGTATGGATCTATGTGGAGTTTTTTTTTTTGTGTTAAGTCAACACTTGGCAGACAATAAATTTTCTCTACAAATATGGTGTTGCTCAGGGGAAAAGAAAGACATAAATTTGTGAGAAGATCAATAAAGTATCTGCTAAGTAAATTGTAAGCGTATACTGAATAAGGGAATTGAAAGAAAATTTTGGATAGTTTTACAGCTGGTTTTGTTTGTATAGGTGTAAATGTATGTCCACCTTTGATATTTTACTTACTGTCTCGCACTTAAATTATGCAGTTCATTTAGTTACATAGGGTGATAATTTCAAGATTGAAAGAATGTAATAGCTTTTGTGTTCTTCTATGTTACACCTTTTGTGATAAAATAATTTTCTTATACCTCTCTAGGACACATACTTGAACAAGCCTGTTCCAAAGCTGTCATTTCCTAATGATTCTAATTGTTTAACAATTTCTTCTTCCTGAGCAAATACTGCTTCAATAGGCAAACTCAATCTGTGCAGTCTTAGAGTATAAGTGTTGTTCTGTTTAAATATTCACTAATTTCAAGACAGTTTGAACACAGACTAATTCATTTGATAACCAACACTATTAGTTTTAACTTGAAATTTGGCAATGAACACTTTCTGCCAAATTGTGTGAGAGTTTACAGCAGTGCTGGTTTAAAGTTGAATTCAAAATTAATCTTAATATATAGAATTACACATTCAATTAAAAATATATATGCCCACAAAAGGATAATGCATGAACAAATGGGTAATAATTTCATAAATACTGTAGTTACTAAATGCGATGAAAGTGCTATTACAATCAGTTCCAATTAAGTGGCCCTAATCTTTCATAAAGCACTGTGATGTAGGGAGGTATGGTATATAATTTGTCAGAGATCATTTTTGGATTTTCGTTTTTAAACAAGAAGAATGTTATTTTTTTGAAAATTAGTTATGGTTTTGGTGAAATATTTATTGCAACCTTTAAAAGGTATTTAATTCCAGAGAGAGAGGTCTTCCAAAATAGCGGTACTGACAAAAACCATGTGTTTATTTTGTTACTGTTGTACTTAGGTTAATGCAGTGAGGATTAAATTAAAACTTCAAAGTATTGTTAGTTTGTGTGGTTTTTCTGTTTCAGAATTGAGAAATGCTTACCAAATTAGTCTCACAAGTTTGTTTTTTCCTAATCTTTGCAAACTGATTTGAATTGTCATATCTGTATAAAATTATGAAATTATTCAAACCAGAAGTCAGCCAAAATAGTCATGCCAATTATGATCTTTTCATTTTAAAGAGAGAATATCATAATACCACATCCTGACTTCATTAATGATTTTTAATAATTTTTTTTTTATTGAATGAAAACTTGAGATTGACCCTTCAAAATCTGGTGGTTAATTAATTTTTTAGGGAGGAGAATAGGAGAAAAGAATCTTTCTATATTTTTGTTAAAAAAATGAAAAAAAAAGGCTTTTGAGCTTTGGAGAGGAAGCCTGGTTTGCTTCTTTATTGAAATCCATCATTCCCAGCTCAGAAACAGTTTTAAACAATTATAAGAGTTTTTCCTCATAAAAGAAAAAAAGATATATATTTTATTTAATAACAGTTCTTTGAACTCAACCAGACCAGTCTCTATCTACAGTTAACAAGCTAATTTTGATCCTTTCCTTTATATACCTTATAAATTATTTACACATTGTTTCCATTTTCTCATCCAATCACATGGTTTTCTGTTGTCTGAAAGCTTCTTTTTCATTGGCTTTCAAAGGTCAAGCAGGTTGTTCTTTGAATGTGTGATAAATATTGCGATGTTTTTCTTCAAGACTGACTGATATGATAATTTTTATTCAGTTTCAAGCTTGTAGTAGTATATTTATCTGCAAACTCCTTGTGATAAACTTTTTTAAAACCAACTTAAATACATATATTGATGGCTTTAAAGAATCTAGCTTTTTCTTGTAGTTCATATTTGCATTATAAAATTGCATCAAAGAACTGAAACTATGTTGAAAATGTTTATCTTTCTTTAAAAAATCTTAAGGAAAACTTTTCAAATTTTCTTGTTTTTGTATCTCTACTTTTCCTTCTTTGTGCTTTTCAAAAGATAGTGTACACTGTTCAAGTAATTATTCATTAGCATCCTGTATTAACCACCTGTTTGCCAGCTGGTCGATGATAATTTTGTGTGTGTGTGATAAATTACCAGTGTCGTATCTCTCACAGGAGATGAGTAAATTTTCATCGCATTGTATCTTTGAAAAACTAATCTTTCAAAAATTGGTGACTTTGAAAGTTTGTTTCGCATTAGTGACTCACGAGACTTGAGATTTGGCAAAAAAAATATAATTTTAAGGAAATTATAAGGAAAGAAAAGAATGAAGTAAGCTCTTTCATGTATATTCTGCTAATTTTCATTGAGGTTAATTTACTGTTGTTACTATTTTTCCTTCACTTCTTCCCTTGGAACTGATAGTTGCATCTGTTAAAAATTTTTTCTTCACAAGTACTTTGTGCAAAAATTGGCTTGCTACACTATTATTTAACTTGAATATTTACACTTTTATTTTAAGCTGCAGATTATTTTCTGCTTGAACCAAAATCATTAATTATTGTTCCTTGCCATGATAAATGCCCAGAACCTTTTTTTATAACTTAAAATTTAATTTTGTCCCAGGTACTTAGATTAAGAAATAGAAACTTGTTTGAATGTTAATTCAAGATCATTTTTAAGTTTTTTTTTAACTTTTTCCCCTTTTTAAACACCTCACTGCTTCTTTATTCAGTCTTTTTCATCATCAATATTGTTTTAACCTTTCAGGGTTGTGACGTAAAGATTGTACATAGAAGTTACTGCCAAGTGAATGTAGCTAGATTTACCACTAAATTTGTTACTAGTGGTAGTAACATAGTCTGTTTTGGGAGCTACATGTATGAACACAGAGACTATTGTGTGATCATATGAAATAATATCTAGATATATATTAAGTATATGTATTTAATTTCTTTGTAAACTATCAATGGCAGAAATAGAATAGAATTCATTAGAATTACTGATCAAATCTCATACAAATCCTTTTAAAGTTAATTTAGGATATGCTGATAATGGATCATAACCATAACACAAAGCCAGCCTAATTTTTGGTTAGAATTTCTGTATTGACAAACATTTTCTGTCAGTAAACTGTGTTTGTAGGGTGAAATGGGTTTTAATTTTAATTTGGGTTTTTGCTTTGTTTTGTTTTGCAGTTATGTTCAAGCGTAGCTGTGATCTATGTGTTCTAGTATTGTTTTGAGTAACCTTAACAATTATTATTTTTTGTGAGAAAGTAACATACATGTAATAAGGTCAGAAATGGTGATGTATAGTGTATTCATGTTGTGAAGCAGATTGAGTCAATACAACAGTGACTACTTTTAATAAACGTAAGGTAAAAAGGTCCGAGGCAAGAGATATCTTTCAAAGAACAAATAGATTACTACATTATCTGGTAAGAAATTCTGATTGCCTTATATATTGTAGGAACCTCCCAATATAATGAAAATCATTCTTTATCCTTAACAATTAAATGTTAAGTTGTAATTTTATTTTTCAAACATATGATTGGTATCATTTTGACTGTAGTACAATTCATAACCATGGGTAATACAAGTTTGTCAGCCTTACTGCTAATGATCTCCTGTCTCAAGAAGTGAGAGTGATTGTTAATTTTGTCTCGCACAATTAGTTTGAGGCAAGTTTGTGCTAATTTATAACTGTTTGTGAATGGGTGTAACAATACAAATACAAGTTTTGTGATAGATTATCACTACTCTTCAAATGCAATTGGTTAAAGAGTTTTTGTGGTGTGAGCATCATGAAGAAATTAATTTTATGCTACATAATACATGTAGGTTAGTATGGTGACTAGAAGCAGATATTGAGTTAAGAATTTGGTGATAAATCAAATCATTGTATTGTAATTTATTTCCACTGTCGTGCAAGGGGAAATCGAAAATACTGGAAGCCCCAGGGTGAACAGTTTGTAACCAAATTAATAGTGCGCTGTATAATTCCTGTATACATATGCATGTCTTCTTATTCCAAAGAACAGAAACTTTCAAATGTTGTTAATAAAATCCTGAATGAGAGAAGATTTTGGTTGGTTTACTTTGTAGACTTTAAGTGACTAAATGTGTCTGCTTTGTATACTCCCCGTGATGTCAATGGTTATTACACCATCAAGAGAAAAAATGAGACACCTGCAACAATGTGTGTGGTAATTTCATTCTTTTATTTATATAATGGGTGGAGAAAAGTAGAAAAAAATTAAGCATTTGGCAAGGACACAGACATGAAGGGAGAAGAAATGGAACGGGGGAGTAGGAATGGTGCAGGGAAGTAGAGATGGCACAGGGGATTGGGAATGGGAATGGTGCAGGGAAGTAGAGATGGCACAGGGGAATGGGAATGGTGCAGGGAAGTAGAGATGGCACAGGGGAATGGGAATGGTGCAGTGGTGAGAATGCTCGCCTCTCACCACCATGGCCTGAGTATGATTCCCTAGACCTGGCATCACATGTGGGCTGAGTTTGTTGTTGATTCTCCTCCTTGCTCCAAGGGTTTTTCTGCAGGTCCTTCTAGTTTCCTTACTGCACAAAAACGGACATTTCCAATTCATATTTGACCTGGGAACAGTTGAAAAGATGAGCCACCTTGTGGAATGTCCACTGCTAAATTATTATTCCTGTTACTATAAAATATATTTCTAATTTTTTTAAAACCTCACAGAACTCCATACTTAAAAAGCTCTTCCAAGGTTTTTTTAATAATCATGTTGTTCTCACTGACAACATCATTTCTATAGCCTTATTGGGCTTTCAACCATTCACCAGCCAGGCAAGTCTTGAGATACACATCAAACTGTTGAATTAATGACCAATCATCTACTTTGGTAACAACATTAAGCTGCTTGTTAGTTACATCAATGACAGCTTCCACCAGGAAGAAACTTTGTCCCAAAGCCTGAGGAGAGAAAAGTAGTAAGCACTTTTCTTTCGAATTAACCTTCCATCACTATAGACTAAGGAACCACAAACAGGGCTCCCTTTGAAGACAGTTGTTCTTACCTTGCAAAATAATGCAAGGGGTTATAAAAGAAAGAAGGAATTCACATTTCATTGTGGGCAAATGCATCATGCAAACATAAGTGAATTTTTGGAACAATCAACCTGTTTGCTGTTTCAGTCTCACCTTGCAAGCTGGGCAAATGCTACTGTATTTGAGTGGTAAAGTCCAAGTTATGTACATAATTAAAATATTTCCCTACCTGCTGTGCATAAAAGAAATATCTCTGTAGAGATTGACCTGGAGGGCTGCTGGCCATCAGGACAATCTTATTTTTGGAGAAAAGTTTCTGAAATTCCTCAGGAGTGGATGGAACACGAGCCATGGGTTCATCCCAACAGGAACTGATGGTACAAACAAATGATAAACCTTCCATTTAGTAATTTTATCATTTCCCTTATTTATCATGATTTATTTGCAGCTTGCTGGACATTCTTTTCCTTTGCAACAAAAGGAATTATAAATAAGGGTGGTTTTAAGTGACTGGTGAGCTGACCGTTACAACTGAAAACAAACTTGCAGGAGGGCTGTGCTTGTCATTTCTTATTGAGAGGACCCCAATATAAGCCTGTTCTTTATTTAAAAGTATACCATTTTGTCAACACTATTGGCTATGTTTAAGGCTTCCATACAAGTCATGTACACACACAGTTGTAAGGGATGGACTGTTAAAACGTGTTGGGGGAAGGGGTGGGGATTTTGGGAGATGCAAGAATTATTTTGCCCCTTAGAAACTTAAATGGTCACCCCACCCTCCCCCTGCTTCAATTTCCCAATTGTCTGCCCCTACCTCCCTTGTTAATTCTTATTACTGTGTCAATCATTTGAATTACCCCTCTGGAAGAGTTTTCCATTTTTGCTCAAACTGAGCAGGTGTCAAAACAGGGTGATCATTCAACTCAAGTATTTCCACTTCCTTTTCTTTATCCTCATCATGATGTTCACTTAAACCACCTTCTCCCTATAAATCAACATAAGAAGACCTGGCTTAGCTCTTTGTTTTCAGGGCAAACAAAAACCAATATTATCATTTCAACACTTGTAAAAAACCCGATTTACCAACAGATTGCCAACAACAACATGGGGATCAGAAGGAGATAAATCTGGTGCTTTTGCTTCTACTTCTTCCATATAATTGTGCATTTCCTCTTCTGGTGGATGAAAATATAAAATGTTGCTTTGTAAGCTACAACTGTAATATTCAATTTATGATATGACAAATCTAATGCATACTTTAATTGGACTTTTTATTATTTTTTAGATAATTTTTTTAAAGATAAAATTAATTATACTGGTAGAAATGTCTCCATATATACCTGGTTCCTTCTCTGTGTATGGAATTCCCTTTATGTAAGGTATAGTTTGGCTGATGAAGTGAACAGATGGTTGCCCATATATAACTGACAAAGTGTTGAATTCTTTTAAGAGGGAATCCTACCAAAAGAGGAACATGTATTAATTAAATGTATGATATGGTGGCTCTAAGGTACAGTTTTATTCAGACTTGAAAATGGTTGAATTGTACACTTAATGTGATATATGTATTTATATTAGTTTATACCTTGGAATGTTGGGTGTTGGTAATTACATTCCATGGATAAGTGACTGGTTTGGAATCTGACCCACAAACTACCCTTTCAGCCTAATGAAAGAACAGCACAATTAATGAATGAGTGACTTGAATTAACTTTAAGTTGAGTTTGGATTTTGTGAAATAAATAGTTGACTTGCTGTTACCATTACCTCTTTTGTATTAGTTTTGAGAAGTCTGTAGTATAACAGAGCTCTGTCATGAACATCCATATGGGTTTCCTCATCTGCAAAGAACAGGGTACTGAACCAAAACAGACATGTTGAATCAGTTTACCTAAATAACAATAGCTTAGAGGCCTTTACTGCAAGGGCTTTTCCCAGTTTTTGTTGATAAAATCAACAAGGAGTACAGCTTTTATTTCAGATGTTATTCCATCACAGTTAACCCCCACAGACATCATCAATTCTCTCTAACAGTGACTTCAAAACAAAGTTCTCACTCCTTTAGCTACAGACCCTTAGTTTGCTTTTGTTTAAGATGATAAGAGAATGGAACACTCACCTACACAGAACTTTAGTAATCGACCCAGCATATCTTGACATTCAGGAGGTTTCTTGAAAAACAGTTTCATTGTTGCAGTAAGTAGCTGTAACTTCACCTCAGCAGATTGCTCTGACTCAATTTTGTCCACAAGAGGTTCTAACATATATGGACTGTCAGGAATTGACTGCCAATGAGAACAACATATCACCTAATTAAACTTATAACCAACTTCTACATAATTCTTGACACATTTTTCTGAGGCTGCTTTCCAAATTACCTTTTATGATTAAGAAGTAGCACACACAGAAAGATTTTATTTAAGATGACTTCATACAACCATTTCCCAGAAAAATCTGCTTTTATTGTCTTACTTTCAAAAGTGACCATTGAAGAATTTCTCTTTTGAGCAGACAGAAGAGTGACAAGAAGAAGAAATATGTCAATTACTGGTGAGACCATGTTCCTGAAGAGCAACCCATCTAGCAGTGGCAGAGTGAGACAAAATAAAGTGCATTAAAAAGGATAACCCTGTAGGAATCTTTCCTCCTTTTCTCCTCTATTGTGCTCCTGTTTGCAAAAATAAGTTCTAAATAATGTATGTAAAAATCAAGTCAGATGTTTCTAAATCTGATCATACCTCTCCATACTCTCCTAAAATCCAAATGATAGCTGATAATCCCTTAGAGTCCTGAACTACTTCTAGACATTCTGCTATCTCAGGCAAAACAGCAATGGCTGACTTTTCATACTTCAGCAGTAAGTCTGTCAACGATACAAGCAAATTATTCTGACTGAAAAGTAACACAGACCTTGAGTAAATGCCATGTAAGGCTAAGGATAAGGAATGTCTTCCCTTAGTTAACTGATTCACTTACCTCTTATAACAACTAGAGTCTGTGAAGTAATGTACTCAATGTCCCAGGAGAGGAATGTGAGTAATACACTGATGCAGTATTCTGATGCCTCAGGAAGACACATGGTGATCTCACCAATAGCTTTGATTGATTTCTTAGAAATGTTTATGTCTACATCATGAACGTGAGCACTGTATGGATTTAAGAAAATTTTGTAACTACATTAAATCAAATATTGGTAGACTAAATAGGGATAACTATATGAAACTTCAATTGTTGGTCTCACTGTCAAAGATGCAGATTCAAGGCTATATATTGAAGATCAAAACCCTTAAACTGCTAAAATTCTAGTCTTCATTAGAATTTCTTGATCCTTAATTGATACAGTGTTGCTCGACTCTACAATTGATAGTGAGTCTCTAAATCATATGACATATGATTAATCATTCATTAATCATCAAAACCATGATGAACATATGTCACATCTTTTACAACAGTTCAAACACTGTCAAAGCACAGAGATTCAAACACTTAACCCTTTACACCCTTACATCAATATGCATATTCTCCATACTATTCTCTTTACATTTCCTAAGGTGCTGACAAGGAGAATTAGTTTAACAGTCAAGAGAGTCTTACACTGGTGATCACTTCCTTTTTTCTCATGACCTAAAAGTGTGATTCAGGGGTCATATTGTAAGAGGAAAATAGATGCTAGTCTCTCGTAGTGGTTAAAGGGTTAATACACTTGCAAAGGTCCAGCCATGGGCTGCATGAATAATGAATGGTATACAGAAATTTGTGACTGTGACTTTCCCTTTCAAATTTCCTGACTATGCTCCTAGCTTTCTTTTTATTAGGAAAAACACAGCCCTTAGCTCTTATAATTTGAACTCTGCACATATCACTTACCTTAACTCAGTAACAACTTCTTCAACATTAGAGTCAGATGCAATAGTAGTAAGGATCTCAAGCTTTTTGGTTTTTATATAGAGTGGATCGGTGTGCCTGATGACCAAACCAAGAAAAAAAATATTTCATTGTCAATAATAATGAAATACCATTATTAACAACTTGCATTAGCTTTGAGAATTACCTGGAGAAGAAGGAGCGATATTCTTGATCAAATAATTTTGGAATTTCAGTCAGAAGAAGTTCAATGCAACACAGACACACATACACCAACTCGGCATTACTTGAAGAGACAATTGCCATGAGGGGACCTGTAAAAAAGTAATTTTAACATGTTATTTTGCATTAACTCTGTCAGTAGATGTCTTCATCCATTATTTTTGACAGCATTCACAGTTATGTGTCTAAATGGCTAAAACTCACAAACAGAAAAAGAGTCTTCTGCAGCCATCCAAAATCTGAGACTCTCCAACTACTGCACAGAATTCTCCAGCTAATTTTCAGTGGGCTCAGCTATTTGTCCTTGATCAGATGTGGAAAAACTTCTCTTAGTCTATACTATTGACCTACCCTTTTTTATATCTTTATTTGATGAACGCTCTGTAATCACATGTGATCAATTATTTTGTTTACCAACTAAAGAATAGACCTTTAATTCTCTTGTACACATGTTCAGTTAACTCTTTCATATCCTTTGTCAGATGGATAAAAAGTTGAATACAGGCCATCACCACAGCACTGTTGGGATGCTTCAGACGGTCATCAAGCAGGTTCTAACAAATTCAAATAAATCACAACTGATTTTAAAGCTTTTACCTAGGCCTACATGTATATTAACAGTTACATTAATCACTAACTGCGGTATGGTTGATGAAGGAATGAGAAAATAAACCTGATGCAAACACCATGGACATGTTGAAATCAAAGTTCAAATCAAATTTTGCTGTTTGCAAGAGATGAAACAAATTTCAGATCTTACTTTCCATTGAGTGGGCTCCATCTGTAAAACCAAGCAGTTGTCCAACTAGGAAATTCATAACTAAAACCACTATTTTCTCAGTTTTTTGCCTTAAACAAAATGATGTAAAACAGCCATCTAGAGTACCTCAAATGTAATCAAAACAATGGAAAGATAATAATTTATACTTTCACTTTTACTGACCATTATTTCAAACATTTCATCTGTGTCACATAGTTTATAACGCTTCATTAGTTCCACAACCAAACTCTGCCCCCATCCACTGAAGGATTTTAATCTGGTCAATAACATAAAACACAATGATTAATAGATCATTGACACACACTACTACAAGTAATTCCTCAACATCCATAACAGACGTTTCCAGAGGCTGTAAACTACCATGTTACCAGTAATAATGTATTTCACCCTCAATGTAAATAAGTAAAATTAATGTAACCCATTCCAAAAGCCCTCTTATTTTTAAGATCAGTAACTAACTAAAGATAAATCAAGGGGTGCATGAAAAAATGCCTCATGTGACTTCTGACAGAGTGTTATATTCTCCTTCAAATTGTCTTGTCCCTTCTTGTCAAACACAAGGAGAATTTAATTTGTCAGTAGAAGATAGTTATATAAGGCTTGACTAAATAAACCCTTTTAAATTTTAAATCACCTTTCACAGTCAATATGAATGTTAAATCATAACATATTTCTATCTCATTAGATCATTCTTTTACCTCTTAAGCAAGTAATGAGCAAGTTTTTTATTAACTTGCATTCCACCTTCAGCAGCAAGGATTTCATCCAAAGCTGAAATAGCATTGCAAACTACCTAAAGATACAAACATAAAAAAAATCTTAACCCATTAATGCTGACCTGCTGGACAAATTTTGCTCAGAGGCTTTTAACTCACATACAGAGCAGGTGTATCAAAATTACATGTACAATGATCAAAATTTATGAAGATACTCATGATTGTTAATTTTGAAGTAGATGGCATATTTCAGATGGAATTGCAACACATCAAAACTGTTGGCTACCTGACTTGAATAATTATTATTGAGTATTAACTGTATGCATGATGTACATACCTGAGGGTCTGGGTCAGTCAATAGTTGGCAAAGTTTGTCTATGATTCCATTATCTGTTTTGATGAAATACATCAACAAATACTAATTGAAATTAAACACACCACTGATTAACCAATGAATGGTCTTTGTCATTATTCTCCCCATTATTATTAATGGAGAGTTACTAATAAAGTACTAATAAGATATCCATTAAAAGAAGGGAATAATTAATACACTTGGTCAACAGATTTCTCTTACATACCTTCAACAAAGTCAGGAATAAGATGGTATAATTTCACGCATCCCATGACTGCACATCGGCGTACATAAGAACTTTTATCTCCTAGACCAGTCAGAAGAGGCTCTACAATGTACTCCACAAGATCAGGCAACCTATAAGAAACAGCAGCTATAAATAAATCAACACAAAAGATTAAAGACTGGGAATTAGTCAGAGAGGTGATAGGCTTCACCACAATGGACCTTGTTCAGTCACCTGGGACTCTGTGGTCCTTGTATTAATCTATATTTATCATCCAAGCCCAATAACCAGAAGCAGATTTGAAAGGAATTAATCATACACTCTGACTAGGGGCTCTGCAGAATCCAAAATCACAGACACCTGGCTCTAATGTTTAGAGGGGCAAAAAATTTCATGAAATTGTATCATGACACTGAGTAGTCAGTACTTCTACAATCAATTGGTTATTAACCTTAATGAACACATGCTTCTCAGAGCAAGACCTCTGACCATAGCACTGCTGTCTTGAGAATCTTTCCGCAAGGTGTTCATGGTCAACAAAGCTAGTTCAGGGTTAGATTGTGCATAACTACATATGTACAGATACACCAGCTTCTTCTGGACAAGATCATGTGTAGCTCCAGCCTGAGGAAATCAAAACAAAACAATTTATTCAGATATCAAAATAGAATTTCAGTGTACCCCTTCAACTCACTACATCTTTTTTTAAAGAGGAACTGATAAATAATTCTACCCTCTAGTTGTTGATATATACACCTCTTTGTCAAGTCTTGAAGAGGATTGGTTATTATATCAAGGCAATACTCTGCAGGTAGACTGCAAGCTGTCAGTTTTTCTCTTGAGGAAAAGAGAGAACCCTGGTCCCTAAAGGGAACAAAAACTTTAGGCAAGAACAGATTGAAACATCAGGCAGGTTATTCCTCGAGGGTGGAGCATGTGAGAAGTTTACTCAAAAAAAAAAGAGACAGAAAAAAAGAAAAATAACCCGACTGCTGTTCGTGTACTGCATAGCAGGTATTTTTTTTGGTTTGCAAAAAAGATAAGTGAAGTAAGCCTCTGTGGCAGAGGTATGGGTATTTTCTGAGAAAAACCATTCAAAGTCAAAGCCAGTGAAAAGAAAAACAAAAAGGAAATTCTAGGTTTTCAAGATCCACTCTACCTCAGACAGGGTCTCTGTGTTTTAAAAATGAAACAATAGTATTGTTGTTACCTTAATCATATCCATGAAGAGAGAGGATAAATCCATTCCCAGAGTCATGCATGATATCACCTTCTGAATAACTTTCTTATACCGTGCAGCATCTTTTTGCACTTCTGGTGACTGTAAACTTTTCTTTAATTCGCTTACTTCACCTTTCTTGTTTGACTCGCTGAAAAATGTCGCTGAGCTTGACGCCATGATCACCTCAAGCTTTTAGTGCAAGTATTAGTGAGTGTTTTCAAAAGATACAAGAGGCCTTCTCAACCTTCTCATCATGTGAAGACGGTTTTAGTTGCACTTTCAGTCTTTCTCTTGTTCTCTTACTTCATCACCCTGGCAGAAAAGAAGGCTGAAGAAACACCCATACTTTCCACAGAAATTTGGCTTCTTCGTTTTTCTAACCAAATACAGTACATGTGTCTTACATGAAGTAAAAATAAAGTCGTGTTTCGGTTTCCAGTCTCTGTTGTCTAATTGAGAAGGCCTGGTAATTTACTTCATTTTACCTTAATTTCGAATAGCTACTTTGTTTATGTTATGGCTGGATCCTTTCAAATGGAAATGTATCAGAGCTAAAAATATTAACTATATATCCTTCTTTATAAGAGAAAGTGATTTTCGATATTGTCACTACAATGGCTTCTGCAAGAGAAGGCAGAGGCACAACTCATGTTGGTTTTGTGTGTCAGAGATGCTATCAACCCTTGAAGTTGGATCATTCCTTGTTATCTTTGGACGAGGAAACGATCGCAGAGCTTACAGGTTAGATACAATAATCGCTGAACTAATAACAGGGGATCATAATAGAGATCATTGAATCGTAAAATAGAAAGAAAAAGTCGAGATTTGAGAACATGATCTTTAAATTAATTTCGTTCATTATCCTTGAGATATCACTCACAACTAAAATTTAACTGTTAAGGTACAAATCCTTAAAAAACAATCGAGCCAACAAATTTCTTGAAGACTGACTATCTGTCAGTGCACTTTGTGCGTGGGCAAACTCGAAGTGTTTATTTCCTTGTGGCAATCAACTTCTATCCATGCGTATAAACGTATTTATCACTCCAGCTGTGCTCAAGCTTATTGTAATTGTGCTAATCTTAACTGTCATCTCTGGGGATTTACACTGTTGTCTAAACATGCAATATATAAAAAAATCATTGCCTTCACATTTGACAGCTTTAGTAGCCAAATCTATAATATTTCTCTCGTGAGTCTCTTGTTTACATGGTGGGTAATTATAATCTCCCAGTCTCCCACACAGTTTGCCAAATCTCCTCAGTACAAGGAAATTGACTTTTTTTATTTTGGTCTTGGTAATGAGGGAAGTGTAGGTAATGTTTTCATTAAAATATCCACCCATGGGAGAGACTGAGATGAAGTAGTCCATTTACAAATTTAGGAAGGATTTCAGATGAAAGTTTTCCAGAGGTTGGCATCTCTGGGTAGTGACTGACTTTTTTATAATTAAATATTAGACTCATTCTAGCATCAAAAGGAAATAAAAATGTTTCATCCTGAAATTTCTATTTCCAGCTCCATTTCCTGAATTTGCAGCCCAGACTGATGGTGGAGAAGACACAAATGGGAAGTATGACCCTTCTTCATGTCAGGTACAATTGTCCCTTATGAATTTACATTTCTCAGGGTAAAAAGTACATTAAGACTTAAGTTTTGTGGCATGATCCAGATTAAAGGAATTTCTGGTTATTGTTGTTTTAAAAAAAGTTTTTGAAATAGTTATAGCTGCTTACAAGCTGCTGTATAAAGAGTGATTGCCACAATCACTCCTTATAATTGCTTGTAGGTTGTCTCAGTAGAGAAATAATATGAACCCAGGCAACAAAAAGATTTTGTGAAGTTTTGTCAAGATAATTGGCTGTTTGCCTTGTTTGAAAATCATTTATAATAAATTTGGTATTTTTTTACTAGACTGCTGTCAATACAGAGGGAGATGATACAGTCATAAGGAGAATCATTTCTCCTGCAAGGTAAATTTCCTTTTTTTTACTTAGATTTGGTTATCCTTGAAATTGTGTAATTCTTATGGCTTTTTAACATGTCACTCTGACTTTTTAGACTTCAGTCACTGGAGGGTGGTTTTACTCTGATCGGAGACTCGCAGCCAATTAACACAGAAAACCTCAGTCACAGGCTTAAGGTACAGTAAGTCAGAAGTTAATAACAGTGGTATGAAGGAGGATGTTTCGTTTTGTAACCTCTTATGTAATTTTCTTTCTTTACCGGTAATATGACTTTCTCAAATGTGTATGGATTTTCTTTTGGTATTCATTCTGGAAATTAAATTGGTGTCAGCAAATTGTCATTTATCAAAAATGCTGAGTGAATAAATGGTGAGTAAGCTCCAGCATAAGGTGCTACATTTTTTTTTTTTTTTACAAGTTTCATAGACATGACTGAGTTTGTTTTCATTTGTGAAGGTCACTAGTCAGTTGTTTGATATAATGTCTGGACAGTCAACTATTGATCACCCTTTGTGCGAGGAGTGTACAGACACCTTATTAGACCAACTAGACCAGCAGCTTAAGATCACAGATGATGAACTCAAAGATTACAAAGTCTTTTTTGAGAAGCTCAATGACAAACCATCTCTAGACGGTGAGGCCTTGTCAAAGGAACTTGAAAAGCTTAGAAAGGAAGAGCAAGAACTGATAAAGAAATTAGAGGAAATTGAAATGGAAAGAAGCAAAGTGGCTGAAAAACTTGAAGCTGAGAAAGAGAGATCTAAGCAGTTGGAGATTGAGGAAAACAAGTATTGGATGGAATACAGTGAGTATCAAAAGGAGCTCTTGGAATCTGAAGATGAGCAGCAGAGGTAAGTTCATCTTAAT